ATATATATATCTATATATATATATATATATATATACTGGGTATAGAAGTTGCAATCTCTGCCACAGACTCATCAAGCAAAAAGCAAAGTCAAGACAATTCTATCTGCATGTTTTATCATTTCTAGTCTAGATCTCCTCGTTACTCTTTTCATCATTTTTCTGTTCTTGTACCACTGTGTGATATAAGTTATCAAAGTAATTCAGTACGCCAAAGTAGCTGAAATATTATTTAGCTGAAAACAAACTTAAATCTTTGTTCGGTTTTGGAATTTTGAGTAGTTTAGATAACAGTGGTTTTCGAACTTGGCAACTTTAAAATGTGAGGACTTCAACATCTTTTAACATATTTTACATATTTTAAAATCACAAGTATAAACCTATTTCAAATGAGATTACATATCATGGTCCCATGGCCATGGGGTGTTCTAACTGGTAGTAAAAGTGAGCCAGTTGCCAAGCACCTGAAATGCAGTCATGTGACTACTGGGAGATCGCATGACATTTTACAATGGCCAGAAATGCTTTATGGATGGCAAAATACGTACTTGTTCCAGGCCCATCATAATTTTGAAAAGTTTATTTATTTTATAAATAAATTTATATTGCCACCTATTCGCACATGGCAAATAGTTGTTCAGTTGTTAAGTGAATGGTCATAAGCTGACTATTTAAAGGAATGGTCTACTTTAGTGGAAGAACACAGAATGAATACTTCAAAGTGCACTCTTGTGAATTATTTGCCAAAAGAATTATTTGCATGTCATGTTTTTCGCTAAATGGGGACTTTATATAATTTACTGTTCCTTGTGCTTTTTAGCAAAACAGATCAAACCATGGTCTCTAGATTATTGTGGACTTTGGTTTTGCTGGATCTTCATGCGTTTCTGGTAGAAAACACCAACGAAGAAAAAAGAAATGGAGTCAGAAAGCAGAAGAGCAAACCGTTTGTCTCAAATGCAGTAGAAAAATATCCCAATTCAAGTGATCAAGGTGATTATTTTTGAATAGTTCTGAAACAAAGTTTAATCTATCAGCGTCTAAAATTTGTTTTGTATTCTGGAAGTGCGATAGTTTGAATCAGTGGGCGTGGCATGTCTTGGTGGGCGGGGCAGGGGAAGGATACTGCAAAATCCTCATTCCCTCCCGATCAGCTGGGACTCAGGGGGCAGAGAATAGATGGGGTGGGGACAGTCAGAGGTGGTATTTACTGGTTCTCCGAACTACTCACAATTTCTGCTGCCGATTCTCCAGAACTGGTCGGAACCTGCTGAATGCCACCTCTGGTTTGAATGTTAGACTTATTTATAGCAAGATATAATCGCTTGATTATAAGGCATTTGTTTTGCATCCAGAAGGCTGCCAGCGTTTTTATGCGTAGGGATTTTTGCAGCTAGGGCTAGGAAGATCACTATCTGAATTCCTTCAACTATAGGCACTTAGGAAGGCAGCTCTCTCACACATGCATTCTTACTGCTGACCTTAGGAACTGCTAGAAAGCAATGGTTTGTCAAGAATCAGAGTGCAAGAAAGGAATTACTGCTGTTGCAGTTGCTCCACCCACTCCCTCAATTGACTGATTTCCTGGAACTTTGGCCTTGATTTCAACTTAAGTTAATCCTTAAAGATTTAATGTCAAACGAGTTATAAAAAATGGCTGGTGGATTCTGCTGGGTTCATTTCCCTTCCTGCCAAAAGTCACCTTAGAGCAGGGAAATCAAGGACCCATTTTACTCTCCTTAAATGGGAGGTAAAGCTGGGTGGTGTGAGTGGTATTTGAACAGGGAAGTTTAGCCAACTGTCAGGTTGCCCTGACAAATTCTTTGCACCTATGACTTGTCAGTTAGGCTATTTTGGAACATAGATTTAGTGCTCTTTTGATATCCAATAAATAGCCAAATGAATACGTCATTGGCACAGAGGAGGCCACAGCGTGAAGAATGACTTTATGCCATAGTCACATCCTTTGTGTGGGCTTTTGTGTTGTATGATGCCCTCCAGATTGTTACATTATAATTCTCGTCATATATAGCCCAACTAGCTGGAAGTTATGGGAACTTTGTCCAAAACCAGTCAGTAAACACATATACATTCCACTTGCATTGCAATATGTATGGCTCAGAGGTGGGTTCCTACCGGTTCGGATGAGTAGATTGTAACTCGGCTGTCCACGCACCTGAACCAGTTCTATTGTCGGTGGCGCCATCTTGATTTTTGGTTCTGTGCATGCGCAGAACAATCTCCATTGCAGAAATGTAATTTTCCCCCCTTTTCTAATGTTTGCACATGTACAGATCTTCATTGGTATAAATGTGCATGCCTGCAGAGCATTTTTTGTGCACCAAACCAGCACTAATGCCGGTAGCAACCCACCCCTGTTATGGCTACAAGGAAAAAAAATATCTGTTTTTTCCAGCTTTTCAGACATGCTCAAATAATTATGTCCACACTTGCCTATTATGCATGCCTTATTTAAAGTTTCTTTAAGGGGTCATTCTCCAGCATTCAGCTTTCTCTAGAAAAGCCTTTGCCATCCCAAAGAGCCATGGTGGCGCAGTGGTTAGAGTGCAGGCTACTTCTGCTGATTGTCGGCTGCTTTCAATTTGGCAGTTCAAATCTCACCAGCTCAAGGTCGATTCAGCCTTCCGTTCTTTTGAGATAGGTAAAATGAGGAGCCAGATGGTTGGGGGCAATAGGCTGACTTTGTAAACTGCTTAGAGGGGGCTTTAAAGCACTGTAAAGTGGTATATTAGTCTAAGTGCTATTGCTAATTCCCAGCTGTGAATTCTGAGGCCTGAATAGTTCTGAGAGTGGTATAGGCGGATGCAATTTTTTTCCAGAGACACAGACCTTAAGGCAAGTCCCATGCATACTTGGAAATAAACTCCTCTCAACTCAGCAGGATTTCCAAGTAGATTTGCATAGAATTGTGCAGAGCTGTGTTTGTGTGTGTGTGTGTGTCGGAGGAGAGCGAGTTCAACATCTTCAGTAGATTTTTTCCAAACTTCTGTTGAAGGTTGAATGGTTTGGCAAGAGGTTGGGTCCTTCGCATTCAAGTGACTGATCTGGGCTGTTTTCTTCCTCCGACTTTTGCGATTTCTAGACGAAGACTGCATTCTGGAAATGGCCTTCCTCCTGGACAGTTCAGAGAGCGCTAAGAACTTCAATCACGAGCAGCAGAAAAAGTTTGTCTTGGAGACAGTAGACAGAATGAAAGGCCTGCAGCTGAACTCTGGCCGCTCACTCAGCTGGAGGACTGCTTTACTTCAGTACAGCAGCACTGTCCTTATCGAGCAAACGTTTAGGGACTGGAAGGGCCCCGAGGCTTTTAAGTCTCGCATTGCTCCCATTACATACATTGGCCATGGGACCTATACCACCTACGCCATTACGAACCTCACTCAGCTCTATATGACTGAGGGAACTCATGGCAGCGTGAAAGTGGCTGTCTTGTTGACTGATGGGGCAGACCATCCGAGAAATCCAGATATTTTTTCAGCTACCGCCGATGCTAAACATCAAGGCATTGTGTTCTTCACTGTGGGAATGACCAGAGTAGCCGAGGAGGTGGCCAACGCTGCCAAACTCCGGCTATTGGCCAGCGTTCCAGCCTCCAGGTTTGTCTTCAATCTGCAGGAAAACGACGTGGTGGAGAGAATCCTCAAAGAAATGGTAGGGGCAAACACCTCAGTGGGCCAATATAATGGGGATATATATATATATATATATATATGGGCAAACACCTCAGTGGGCCAATATAATGGGGATAT